AAGCAAAAAAACCTTGAACTTTGTGAAAGTACTGTAAGTCACCATGTTGTCACAAACTCGCATTCGAGTTCCCAGCGCATTGTGAATCGTGATGCGGCCCTTCCTGCTCACTAGTCCCTGTAATGACTGATGTAACGTGATGTAACCAGAGAATAAGCACAGGTTGTGCAGCAGACGTTTCACCACAGAAATTACTGCAGTCCAACGCAGCTACAAGTAAGTAGTATTTGTCGGCAAAACCGTCTCGAAATTGAGAGCAATACTTCCATTGCATTAAAAGAAATGTTTTTATAGCGGAGCTCGTTTGGGCATGGTGACGTCATCGCCCTCCCTGCGCGTAGCGGGGTCCTCAGCCGCCTGGGCTGGGGGAGCTCTCCTTTAGCTCACTCGGCTGGTTCCCTGTTGTGTCACGCCGGAGACCCGGGTTCGCGCCCAGGTGCTGCGGGGGTGGAGTGGCGAGGAACCGCGACGATCACATCTTTACACCGTTACAGGGCTGCTTCACTTCACCACGTCTTGTTGGCTCGTTCTGAATCTCAGAACATGGCCATGTGCACATCTGGAAACTCCATCCATGTCGTGCTGTCAATTGGAGGTTTTACAAACTACTGTGTACATGTTACGTCGATTGTGGTTTGAGATGCACTCATCGATGCGGATTCTTTCTATAAAATATAAAACTGGCGTTGCAGTTCCCTTTAAAGCCTCATGTCTTTCAAGAAATCGCTGGATGAGATCCTCAAATTAATAACTACCCTATGGCCTAGATGAGTTGAATAGCTTCCTCTCGTTTGTACCTTTTTTACTGGCCAGCAGCCACGTTGCACAGGAAGATGATGAAGACAATTTTACTAATTGAAATGGAATGGAAACCTGAGATAGACCTGACTGTGAACACCCAGAGTAGACGTTACACATTACACCTGCTCTTTTGAAAATTGCCATGGGGCTCTAAGTGAAGAAATCCCTGAGGAGATTTGTTCAATCTCTAATCCGTAGGACTGCACTTCCTACAACATAGCGTCCCTGATCCCAAGGGTGAAGCGCCACCTGCTGGTCTGCCAAGAGTACTATCTAGGTTACTGGTTACCTGGTCCCAGACTTGCAGAGCTTCTAAGGCCTAATCAGATCACTCTACAGGGCTGTAATGTGGTCTGTGTACTTTCTGTTAACAACAATATTGAAGAGACATTCTTTGGAAAAACATAAGACTCAGACGCCAGAGGAGTTTACAGCCATTTGGAAACGAATGGTCTTATTGGTTGCTTTAGCCCATGTGATGAACTTGAAGAATGAACCACGGAACAAATTCCTCTCAGCTGCTCACTGGTTTAACAAAAACAGCAGAAAAAAATATTTTCTGAAGCAGAGCCTGGTAAGGAATTTACTTGTAAAGTATGTGGCCAGCAGGGGCTGTTTTCTTGAATAATCTGTCACCGGGACCTGCCTCAGGCCAGAATCCCAGACAGCCGTCAGCACCGGGATCGGTGTGGCCCCCCGTGCCAGTCTGTCAGCGCCCGGAAAGAAAGAAAACCGACACAGCTGAGCGAACAGATCCTGTAAATCAAGCAGCATGCCTGTCTTCTGGGCTTAGCCGGACTCAACAAAGAGAACTCCAACCTTTGCAACTGAGCAAGAATGAATCTATGGTACTGTACTGTCTGTGGGTGTGGCTCTTTTTCATGCCTTTTTGGGGGGGCTGGCATTAGAAAGAAATGTTTAGATGCTGCTGTCTTTCTGTCTGAAGTTCTGAAAGACTCGCCTGTCAATGAGGCACAGGCGGAGAGCTTTTTTCAGCTGGGAAGGAGCAGGAGTGAGTCCAGGTTTGCAATCGCCTGAGCACGTTACATGCCTGTTGGCCTCCGACCCATTAGTGAAGCAGGTGCTACAGTGCCTTGCGATGCTCGGAGCCAGGGTTCACATCGCTTTCTCAGAGACAGCTCCCGCCTTGGGAAGCCTCATGAGAATTACACCCTGTACGCTCCTTGTGTCTAAAGCCCTTAACATGTCTTTCTTTCTGCGCCTTTACTAAAGCATTCCGGGTGGCATTTCTCTTCAGATTATCATTATAGACCTTTTTTTAAACCAAAAAAAAAAAATGCTTATAGAAAATCAACTAAGAATCAGCTTAAAATCAATTTAGAAATACCACCTGACTTGCACAAAACATGCATTATACAGAGGTGGGGGTACCCCTCTCCCAGGGCGAACGAGAATGGGGGAGGTAGTGGAACCAGTGGGCTCTCGCCTGCGTGTTTCTGGGAGGTGTGACTCAGCCAAGGCACCCAGAGAAAAACCCCTCACCAGAAACTCCACACTAGACAGGCACTCAAGACAGGCAAGTATCCCAACCTTTTCGGCCCAGAACAGAGGATACTAGGAGGGGACCTGGATTCAAAATCCTCAAAGGCACTGAAAGCCAACCCATTGGACTTGATCAGAACGAACACTGAAACACAGACCGGAGGGCACCGGTGGAAACGACACACTGCGGAAGCACATTTACAACGGAACCAGGAGCCTGTTCCTTAGCCAAAGGGTTCTGGGAGCCCGGACCAGAGTTCCCTGCGCTGTTATTGAAGCTGATAACCTGGTTTCTTTCCGGTGACGGCTGGATGAGACTGTCGGATTCATTTCCTGCTAATTAGCAAAGGGGCTACCTGTAGCTGGGCAGAAGGTGTCTTCTCCAATCTCCAGCTTTCCTCACGGTCTTAAGTGGCTACATTTAGCGCAGTTCTTCCTCCATCTCTTGCTGTTAAGCACCGGACGTGAAAACTGGCATTGAAAAAAAGATCATCTATTAAACCGGGATGATTGACCGCTCTTACCACAGTACTGTTGAAAATAAAAGCCATACATTTGGGGGACAATTATGCGTCCTATTGTCTCCGTGGAAATTAAATCGTTCTACACAGTTGCGTAATGCGTGAAACACAATTTAGCCAGAAGAAAACCAATATCCTAACGAGACAGTCAGCCTGTGACTAATAAAGTTTCTGTCCAGCTCACTTTCTTAAGAAATCATTACGATAATGAACTTGGCTAATCGCTGGCACGCTGTTGTTGTTGTTGTTGTTGTTGTTGTTTTTTGTCGTTTAAAGGTTCGACGCTAAAGAATTTTACCGATGTCAAATTTCAAATTTCAAATTGTGTCCCTTATCTTATTAATTAAGTTTCATTTACAGTAGGTAACAAGTTTGTCGGGTTCCCCTGAAAGCCACAGCATGAATCGAACACCCGAGATTGTGTTTTAACCGACTGCAAGACAAAACTTTTCTTGACCAGTTGTTTAACTTGCTCATGAGAGTTTGTGAGATACCGGCAATAAAGCCACTACTGTGTACAGAGTTGCTGTGAGTCCAGCGTGCCGTTAAAAGCGCTCTCTGAGCGGAACACGTACAATCCAAAAGTACTGTACGGTATCTGCAGACGACTGCAGCCTATTGATAAACCTTTCTTTACTTTGTCATTCTTCGAACTAATATGAGTTCGTTTTGAATTAGCTTTCAATAGCCAGGGGCCAAAGACAATCGCCTGCAATCCTCGCCTTTTTCTGTAGGGTACTATCGCCCAGACAGGTGGAACCGGTCACGATCTAAATAGATGGGCAGCTCTGCGCTCAGGGGAGACCCCACCCATCACACTGGAGCGCGGTGATGTCACTCAGGTAGCAGGCGCGGAGATTTTTGGTGACAGCAGGGTGACATCGGTCCCGCGCCGTCAGACGATCCGCGGAGCCCGAGGTGCACCGAGCGAGCGAGGACGAAAGACAGCGGGCAGAGAGAGAGAGAGAGATTCACCGCGCTCGGGAGTCCCGACAGCCACCAAAAGTAAGAGTTCTCACCTCTCTTCAGGAGCGTTTGTCTGCTGCGGTGCAATTTGAATGGCGTGTGATTTTGTTCGAGGTCTCCGCGTCTAAACTGCTCATTGAGAATACATAGTACCCCCCATCTCCCTTAATACCAGCGTGGTAATACTGGTGACCTGCGCCCTTCTGTATGTTATGGCATCTCGGCGGTGTGTAGGAATGAATTTTTACTGTTGCTTGTAAGTGGGGACTCCTACATGAACACTTTATTAGTACGTCGATAAAAACTTGAATACAGTTTTTATTAAATAAACATTTGTTGTTGTTTTTTTCGTTCTTTGCTTTCGGTTTTGCAATTTGGCACCCGCGCGGTTTACGGCTTTATGACACTGCAGCGCACCTAGGAGACAACTCAAGTTCAAATCCAAGGGGATTTTCCACAAGAAAGCGGCGTGTCGATTCTCTTATTCCTGTGGTTCACAAATCATAACGCAGGTTTCTGTAAAAGCTTAGAGGAATTGATGGGTGAAAGCGTTTCTCCGCGGGCTTGGCTGCAAAGACCCATAGAGGAGGTATTTTCACTGTAGTTCTGGACTCGCACAAGTGGCAAACTGACGATTAGGTAAATGATCGTAGTCCTTGTATCAAGCTGCGGTCTATTTAAAATAACATTTCAAAAAGAGAAAGGAAAGGACTGGCTGACAGTTTCCCCTAGCCCTATTCCTCCCGTTCATGATCGATTCGCTTTTTAGCGAGTTTAGAACACATGCATCTACTGGCTTAAACTAATATTGAAGGACACAGCCACAGTTGAACTGTGTTTTGTTCAGATTGGAGCGACACCATACAACACGCAACCTTATCAGTACAGTCCTCAAACGAGTGCAATAAACCTGTTCATGGTTATGTTTGTACAATTAAATTGCACCACAAGGTAAATGAAATAAACATGCTTTTGCACTTTTCCAAAACTCTCTCCATTGAAGTATTATTTCTTTAGACCTGGCAGTTTCTTTTGTCTTTCTTATTATAAAGACATGACATTTTAATTTAGCTTGGTCATTTACGTGCTCTGCCTTGATTTTCTTTCTTTGAGTGTTCACCTCTTAGCGAGGTCTGTTCTCCACTAAACTTTTTAAATAATAGCTTTATATGAGATTTAATTCTAGTATTTGCAACGAATAGCTCTCAATATTTAATTATTTGAACGCAGTGTTATGAAGGACTGTTCAGAATTTTCCAGATTAAACACAGAGGAAAAACCCCACAGTATTCAACATTCATTACTAGTAGTGTAGTTAATCATTTATCGCTGTTAATGGAGCTGTTATTCATACGTTGGGGCGGAGGAGAACTGTAATCCAGCAGTTCCGTCTCTTACGTATAGGTATACCGTTCACACGTGTCTGTTTTACAATAGCCTCCCTGGATCATTCATTGAAAGTGAGGGGATTTGTGAAGTTGTCGGACTTGACCATAGGGCCTGGGCTGTCATTTCAAAACATATCTCAGAAATATCGCCAGAACTGATGACAGCAATGCCCTGCTGGCTGGGGTATCTTAATCCACACTAAACTGTGGAACTGCAGTGTGTCAGCCAGAATCTTGACTAGATCACAAACAAGTGATGACATTACTCCTATCCTGGAGTCCTTGCACCTGCTTCCTATCAGGTTTTGTTTCGACTTCAAAATCCTCATGCTCAGCTTTAAGGCTCTGCATGGCTTGGCACCTCATTATCTGTCAGCAGCCCCCCTGTCTATTACAGGTGGGCTCCTGGTGCTTAACACCTGGAGACCCACTGGACTGGGAGCTCTCCAGGGCCTGACTTAGAACAATTACTATCTCCCCAAAGATGTCATAGTCTCCCATAACCTGAACTAAGTTCTATTTTTTCCACATCATTAGCAAATTGCAGTTGCAACTGGAGGCGTAGAGTGCATCATGATCCTGTAGTCATGCAGTAAAAACACCGAGAACACATTTCACCAATTTTCTGAAAAAAGCTTTCAGATCCAAATAAACAATCTTCTTTAAGATTCTAAATGCAGCTTTAGAAGCAGAAGACTGAAACCAAAATATTAACTAGGCCCAGTTATCAATCAACTTGGTCACAGACATCCTTTGAATTAATATTGATTGATGGTAATATTACAAGAAGGGCTTCAGAGTTAATACATTTTATGTGAGTTGGGGATTGATCAAATGCATGGATTTATAATACAGATGCCTGATCTGAAATACATTGAAGACTGCAGAGTTTGTTAATAACTGTAATAACATATTTAATGTTGTAGTATCAGTGCAAGTACTATGGTGGCAAATCATGAAACTATTAGTTGAAAGCATCACATGTTGTGTTCAAACAGGATCAATATCTGCCTGACAAACAGTGATCACAATGACCATGTGCTTTACTGACACATCTGTTTAGCATAGATGGCTGAACTCAACTTGCCTTTCTTTCAGTGCCTTTTCAGTGTACTGTAGCTGCTCAGCAAGGAAAGATATGCCGTCAGTTAAAAAGAACAGGTGGAGCGGTAGATCTGTGATTCATTTGGGTATCTTTTGTAGCAGCTGTGTGGAAATAGAGATCTGGGCTCTAGTCTTGAGGGTTGTGGGTTCTAGCCCTGTGTGTGATTCGAGTGTTGTACCGTTGAGTAAAGGGGTTCACTTGGAATGTTCTAGCAAATACCCTGCTGTATAAATGGGTCTTGGGGGCTTCATTGTAAATGAGACATTATTCCCAGCTGCCCTTTCTGCTAATATGTAGGTATAAAAATTAGCCAGTATCTTGCCTTTTTGCTATTGAAACATAACATGATGTTTATACACATATATGCACTTTCATATGGACTATATTGTTCAATCCAAGACACTGAGTAGTATAAAATAAAAAAATAGTCACCCTTATCTAGAGCAACTCATAGCTGTAAACAGTCAATACAATATTTGTACAGTACAATCAATACAACATGGATATGACAAATACAGCTTTCTAAAATCGAAATATTGGATAAACAGAACTGCAGAGACCAACATTAAACACTCTGCTCGCGGTCTCTGATCTTTAGAATATCCTCAAGTCGAAGATTTAGCCCTGGTTCTGGGCACCTCTGTTCAAGACATTTTCCGATACAGATGCCCTTTCAATTAACTGAACGATTGAGCCCCTTGTTAAATGAACAATCTACTTACCAATATTTTTTTTTGTTTTACTCGTTTTCCAGTTCTGAATATTAAGATTAAGTTTAAATGACCAACCACTTAGGTGTTTTAAAAAAAAAACTTGTTTAGATGAGGTCAAACAAAAAAGTGTTTTAAGGAGCAAAACGTAAGTACAAGGTTTCATTACATCACAACTGGAATGTGAGTCACTTAACACAGGAATGCCTACAGGAAAAAACCTGCACTAGTCTGGAGAGCATTCAGGATGTCTCTAAATACCAACTCTTGTAAGCCCTCAAACAATCCGATGATTTTTTTCATCATGGGTTTGCATTTTTTCCCATGAACACCTTTGGATTCTTTTACAAAGGCAAAATTGCTATTCTGTGCAATCCAGTCTATAAAGCTGCGATAAATTGTCACCTTGGAGAGTTAATAATCACAGGAATGAAGTTTGATCACATACAGCAGATTGTCAACTTCATTATCTCAGGGTGGTTGTCTGCACAGATCTGTCAGCACTGTTCACTGATTCCCCAAAAAGAGATCTCCAGTAATATGCGGGAACTGGTGGAACAAGTCATCTATTTCCGTGAGATCGAAATCCGAACGCACAAACGGTATTTGAGCAACAGCTGTGAAAGACATGACTTACAGTATATGACAGGATAGAAACGCTGTAGTGCTGGGAATGTGGTGGGGTGTTTACTGTATCTCTACTACCTTCAGTCCAGTAGGAGTGTCTGTTTGTGTGGAGCTTGCATGTTCTCTCGGGATTGTGCATGTTTTCACCATTTCCTGCTCTGAATGGTCTCTTTCGTGGGGCTCAAGGGGATTTCATGTTTGCGAGGACAGTACAACCAGTACTGGCTGGGGAACTGGAGTGGCCAGCTGCTCTTGTTTTATTTGTGGGCTTTATGAGTTCTGTGAACCTTGTAAGAGACTGTAATACATTAGTATTGTTTCTGCTTGATTTTCTCATTTAAAATCCATAACATTCAACTAGAAATCATGTCATGATGGTTCAGGACCTACACAACATAATTTATAACCCAAAGCACAACCTACACAGCCTAAAGCTACTGTATAGTAATAGTAACACCTTAAACATTCTTTAATCAAGCTCTGCCGAGGTGTGAAACTAGGGGTTAAATAGTTATTTCTCGAATATATACATTTATAATGAAGACATCGCATCGCTTTTATCAGATAGATTCAGAGACTCAACTGAAGTTATGAAATAATCCCTGGAGGCCTTTTCAGAATTCCACATTTCAGACCGTGAAAAAAAAAAACAGTGCACCTTAGAGTTAAGCCTGTTTTACAGGGTAGTGAGATAGGATATTCTGAAATGAGGAACAATTTTAAAGGAACTGCCTCTCAAAATTGTATCTCAGGTTTCTGTTCTTGACAGATTCTTATGTACACAATTTCACAAAAATATGCTTTCAGGATAGACAACACGTAACAAGGCTACATATATATGTGTGTGTGTGTGTGTATATATATATAGTAGGCACCTATTTACACAAAGAGTTGTGGGAGTCTGGAACAGGTAGCCCAGCAGTTTTCAATGTTAAAGTGAACACCCTGGGTTCTTTTACGAAACAGCTGGACCTCCAATCAATTAAGCTTTAGCCACCAAATGCGTTAAACTGTCACCTCTCTCAAGGTTGTACAGTATGGATAATAATATTCTGTTACAGTTTTCTTTGGAACACTAAAGAAATCACTAAATTAAGGATCATAGAGTTAAAGGAACATTTTCTTATTTGGACAAACAAGATGAAACGACTGTCTAAACAAAAGTTTAGTCTGCACACTCTGTTTTCATTACTGTAGTATCTCATTGTTATACCAATACTGTACTTGTATTGAAACGTATGTCCAGTCTGCCAGTAAGGAGTTTGTGGTTGTTATTACTAATGGTATTACTCTGGCTACTAAATGTCATCGAGAAGCTTTTGGTGGGGATTGCTGGGGGTTTGAAGCTTGAACTGTAGTGTAGACTGTAGCGTTTTATTATAAGTGTTTAAAATCAGTTCCTTCTTCACATGTATAGTATTTCTCCTAAGGTCTTTCACAGTTGACTGCATAAGACACTTACCTGATAAAAGGTATGTTTGCCTACACATCGCCTGAGAGCTGTGTTATAAGTTTTACAGTTATTCAGATAATTAAACCTACTATGGAACTGAGAGCATGGAGAGAGGGAGAATGTGAAGACCCAGGAAGGGATGAAGGAAAGAGGTAGGTCAGAGTGACCCCTAGTGGACAGGAAGAGAGTTGTTTGGAGGTGCTTGAAGAGATGAGCCAGAGCTTGGAGAGAGGAGGGCCTGCTTTTTAATTTGGTGTATTTCAGCGGCATCGTTCCCTTGTGAGCGCATGCCGATTCCCAGGTTCACATTCTCCTTTGTCTGCATCCACTTCCCATCCATCAGGAAGCTCACTGAGCGAATGACCAGAAACCATGTGTAAAGTCAATAGAAAATGCAGTGTTTTTTTTTTCCACCCCCGGGAAGTACTTCTTTACACAAAGGGTGGCAGAGGTTTGGAGCAAGCTGTCTAGCTATGTTGTTCAAATGTTGTTTTCGGGAAGCAGCCGGATGGTCAATGATCTGCTCGAAACTAATTGTGCCGGATGAACAGAGCAGCCAGCTCTCGTTTGTAACCTTTCTTCTGTTCTCATGACTCATGCGACAGCCTTCCCTTCCAGGCTTGACAGCAGCAGGCAGATGATTCTGTGTGATCTGTGAAAATATCGGGTCATGGTTAGCTGAGGTTTTGATTTTAATTGTCAGTGAACTTGAAGGTCTGGCTTCTTCAGGTCCTGAGAAACCCTTCCAGCCCGCTGGCAAACTGCCACTGTGTCATTCCTGTTTAATTTTGTGTGTTGCGTCAAATGTTGTCATAACAGAGCCTTGTCGGCTGATTGTGCTGTTTAATGGGGAGCAGAATTTCACTTAGGAAGGCAAAGCTTCTGCCAATACCAGCTGCATTCTTATTGTATTTCTTTAAGTGCCGTTATCAGATGATAATACTGGAAGTTTACCAGAATATACATGCTCACAAGATGTACAGTACATAATTTCCTTTTAGTGACCTCTAAATAAAAGTGGCGTTCCTCTCTTATTTCAGTTTGTTTTTCCTGGTCTGTCTGCTGTCTTCACGGTACAAGAGGGCGATCACCAGGCCTTTATTTCAGCTGAAGTGAAGGCACCATACAGCAGCACGAGAAGAAGAAAAAAAAGCTTTTCTCTCCCTTTTCTCTCTGCCTGTTTCCACTGGGAGAGCTCTCGTCGTAGCCAGATAACAGACGTTACACTCCTCATTCCCACTCATCCCTGTCTAGCAGCAGCAGGGTGACTTTCCTCTCTCGCCTTTCTGTTATCAAAACTTAGTCTGTCGGTGCCTGCAGTCTGTGCATTGTGTCAGAATCTCAAGAGCATATTGTTAACAAAAGAAGCGTTTTAAATGCAAACAGCATTTTACAGGTGTGAGGTCACTAGTGCTTCGAGTAACCACTGGGTTACACAGAAAGAACAGGTGCAGGTGTACAATGAGGCACTGGTTTCTATACGACTCCTGAAAAGCTGAGCCCGGGCTAATCCCCGTTCCGCCGCTTCGCATAGGGTCCTTTTCCGCCCTTCTGTCATTCCACGGTTCGTCCCTTCCGACATCCGTGACAGAACGCTGAGCCTCCTTCTGCCCCCAGTGAGCGGAGCTTTTTGGAATACAACTGTCGCGTGGTGCACCGCAACATCCAGGCACCCCGGAGTTTCTGCAGTTTTTTTCCTCGGGGTTTTCTTCTCTCTCAGCTCTCCTATTCATATCGCGGGATGCTTTTTCTGGCTCCTGTGCCTGTGAGCCGGCTGCGGCCTGGCTTTCCTCGGGTTGTCTTTCTGGCATCCGTGATTGAATGTTGAGCTGGCCCTCCTATCCTCATTGTTGGATATAACTCCGGTCATCTGTGCCTGTGAGCGGGCCATGTGCCTGGCTTTCCTCGGGTTGTCCACTCCGATATCAGTGATAGAATGTGAATGTCCCTATTGCCCTGTCTGTGGTATTTTTCCCAGGTTTTTGTTTTTATTTTTGTTTTTTGGTTGTTTCACTTCCTGGTTCCCCTTCTCTATGGTCCCCCTGTCCCGTGTGTCTTGGAACTTTTGGTTCCTATCTGTTTTTTTGTGATTTGTTTTCCTGGTCTCCCAGGTTTATCTTTGTTGTGGTTTGTGCTTGTGTACTTGTCTTTTTTTGTTTCCAGAGCTCTACCTGAACCCCCCTTCCTCTACCCAATAAAGGTTTATACCCCGGAGGAGGGGGCAGCTCTCAGCCGTGGACTCCCGGAGGTTTCCTTTCAGTTAAATGAGGTTTTTCCTCCCCCCAGTGCTGTGCAGCTCACTTATTTGTATGGGCATCAGGAGCCACCCATGAAGGGGGGGGATACTGTCACACCCTCTGTAGCCAGAGGGCACTCCTACTCTGTCCTGCCCCTAGTTTCCTGTGCTTTGCTGTCCTTCTGGTGTCCCTCTCTGGGGCTATATATTTCCGGGTCACTGATTCTCCTTTGCTCAGCATTGACATTCGGATGTCCTGAGACCCACCTAGCACCAGGTCGCCCCACGTCCGCTGCCTGAGGGCTTTGGTTTCTATTGACTCCTGAACAGCTGAGCCTGGGCTAATCCCCCATTCCACCGCTACGCATATGGGTCTATTTCCGCTCTCCTGCCTCTCCACGGTTCGTCCCTTCCGACATCTGTGAAAATGGGCTCTGCCTGTTTGTGTCCTGGTTTAGGAAAGAGCTGTGTTGGCAGCAACATCAAACCCGGTCATACACCTGACACTGTGTTTTATGTACGGCTGTGTACTGTATCACTGCTGATTTTCATAAGGCGACTGCTACAGTGTCGGCAAACACTCAGGAATGTGTACTCAGCCTGGAAGCAGACAAGGGGCCTCCCCCATGAGAGACAGCGGAGGGAGACACAAAGAACAAAGAGGAAGAGAGGCTTGAGAGGGAGAAAGACAAAGAAGGAAATGGCACCAATAAATAATTTCACATGGCTAGAAGGATAAAGGCATTTATTGTGGGCTAATAAGTGTTATTATTCCTGACCTTTAAACGATACTGACTTCAAGATCCTGTTTGATACAACAGATCGCCCAATTACACACTTATTATTTATTCTACATCACACTTTTGTTTTTTAAAATGTAGAATAACCTTGACTGCCGGGAAGTGTACAAGGGCAGTTGATGTGTGCTGTACAGGGTTTCAAAAAGAGCCAATAATTGTCCCACTGAAATAGAAGCATTAAAGAGGTCCTGAGCCATTTGGCAAAAGATTAAATCATGGGGCTACATTCTTCTGTTGAACATCATACTAATCAGAAAATATTGCTAGAGTGCATTTAAAGCCGTAGCTTCTGACATTTTCCAGGGAAGTGCAGAACAGGTGCCCACAGCAGCTCCCGACAGTCTGAAACGGCAGGTACTCCAGCCGCCCAGCGACAGATTCTAGTCCGAGAAACCCAGACGAAGGCGGGTTCCTGTCGTGGGTCTGTGTGCGAGTTGGCGGTCTCCTTGCTGACACTTACAGTACTCACATACAGAGCCCTGACTGGCATGATGGCACCTGAGACGCACTGTGTTAGGCACACAGCTTCATGACCGCGTAAGACAAGTGATATATGACAGTCTTTACTGAATTCTCCTCCTGGGATTCTAGGTATCTATGTAGAGGTAAATAGTGTATCCCTCCAACTGCACTATGCTCCTGGTGTTTTTTTCGTGCCAACACGGTGCTCTGGTGCACGGTGCATGGCTAACCCTGCCCCTGGCTCTCGTTAGGAGCTGCGCTGAGATGGCCCTGGAAGGGGAGGCGGAGACCCAGCCCAGTCATGTGCAGGAGGATGAGCTGACCGAGGAGGCCTTCCTGAAAGAGCTCTACCTGTACATGAAGAACAGAGAGACCCCCATCGAGAGGATCCCACACCTGGGCTTCAAGCAGAGTGAGCCTCGGTCCCTCCCTCCCTCCCTCCTGCGCACATATAAACACACGCACACATAAACACACACACACACAGACACACACACACACACACACACACACACACACACACACACACACACACACACAGATCCTGGCACTCCCGAGCCATCAGGCAGTAAATCCAGGTCAATTTAGTGAGTAACTGAGTGGAATGTCAAAGGTCCTGCTTGGCCTGAGTGCCCAGCTCTGGGTATAAAGAACTGATTGACTTCAGTGATTAGCTGGCTGGCTGATACTCACAAACACAGGGTCTCAAACAGCAGAACAGGAGAAGGGCCACTTGGCCCATCTGACTATCTTACTCATTGGGCTGTCCTAGTAGCTGAGTGAATCCAAAATTTCATCCAGCCATTTCTTAAAGATGCCCAGAGCCTGGGGCTCAGTCACCTGGAGGGTACGCCTGCTCCAGACACTAACCAGAGCATGAGAACGTGAGCGAGGCTGCAGACGACAGACCTGTTTCCTCATACAGCACATACACACACCCATGCCTGTGTAGAAATAACAAGTGGACTGGCAGATGAATTGCAAACATGCCCTTTCTTCTCTCTGCTGTTCCAGTTGACCTGTTTGTGATGTACAAGACTGTACAGGCGTTGGGGGGCTACGACCAGGTAAGGTCCTGAGAAGGTTTTCACACCTGCTGTTTAGATCCATGCAGTCTCCTGCAGTCTCAGGGTTAAAGGTGGAGACAGGAGCGAAGATATCGCGGAGTGAAGTGTCCATCACAGTTTCAGCTGAAGGGGGGATAGCAGGATCACTTTACTTAGAATACAATCTAAAACAAAACCGCCTTCCTAAAATTCATATATTGAATCCTCCATTTAGTTTTCGAAAACCAACCTCCAAAATGATTCATTCTGGGACACTGGCCTCCAAAAAGCCTCTCAGAAGTCCTTTTGTGTTACAGCAGGCTCTGAAACTCATCACGAAGACCATAATGAAATTAAGCTGGTGTAACAGTATTGTAGTTTCCTTGGCCGTCTCCCCCCCTGTCTCCCAGCTTTCCAGAGGCATTTCCGGAATTATTCGGCACAGCCAGGCAGCAAGTCTCAGTTGTTTATGCTGCCCACAAGGTTTACATGATTACATAATCCTATGGTTCACAGGCAGGTCCGGGCCTATATTCCCACACGGGGAGGAGTTTATAACAATGTGTAATCACCTGAAGATATCTAAAACAAATAATTAAACACCATAAAAAAACATAAAACCTCTGTTTCTCGTGTACACAAGGATATATTCACATGCATACAGAATGACATACCCAAAAAAGTGGGGTGCAGGGGAGCTCGGATCCGGACAGATGCTTCCTGCGCAGAACTCACGCCCCGCTGTGCCTCCCGCAGGTCACCGCGCACCAGCTGTGGAAGCAGGTGTATAACCGGCTGGGGGGAAACCCGCGCAGCACCAGCGCCGCCACCTGCACCCGCAGGCACTACGAGAAGTGAGTCCGCGCCCGTTCCGCACCGCCACCCCCCCTCGCCGTCGCGCGCGTCTGCGCGGGATTAAGGCTCTGCGCCCCGCCCGTGTGCCCTTCTTCTAGGCTGATCCTGCCCTACGAGCGCCACCTGCGGGGGGAGGAGTACAAGGACGTGACCCCGTCCCGGGCGCAGAAGCGGTTCCACCGGGACAGCTTCGCCAGCGAGGAGGAGGAGGGGATCAGGCCCAGCAAGTGGCACGGGGGCTATAGGCACACGCACATCCCGCAGGTACGGGCCGCTGCAGGCCGGGCTCTCTCTGCTGCTGCGCGGTGCCCCACAGCCTGCCCCGAGCGGGAACACCACAGACAGACACCCGGGCGGCTTCCCGCACCCCGATTACCAATGGGATTGGATCGGTGCTGCACTGGCTGAGCAGTAGGAAACACCCTCCCAGTCCCACTCAAACCACGCGACTAGAACTGCCCCCACCCCCTGGCCAGCTAAACTCCCAATTCCCGCCACACCCGCATAGCATGCTGGGCACTCCTGCCCATGGCTTTCAAGTGCCCGAACCATTTGTAGATACAATTGTGTCGGATTATTAATGAACACATTGTCACCTAGATTAGTACTGGAGGAGCCACCTGAAAGACTTCTCGAGTCATGTGAGGCCAGCAGGCGTGGGAACTGTATGTCCAGCTGCGTGTGGTTAGACGTGTGAACATCGTGAATCTTTCTCCACCCGTGTTTTTCAGGCCCATCACGAAGTCATGGCAGACCCCCGAGTCAGGTTGATTCACCTGCCCTTGCAGCTGAGACCGTATTACTACCCCAGCCATCCGGCTCTGCCCGCCTACTTCCCCGCCTCTCCGTCTGTGCTGCCCCCCCACCCCCAGGCGGGGTACCTGCCCATGCCCAGGGAGGTCAGCGAGCGACCCCGCCAGCAGCTGATTCTCCTCCGGACGTTAGCGAAGGAGTACACGTCGTCCTCGGGCTGGGCTGAGCCACTCAACCTCAGCAACAAAGAGGAAAGCCTGGGGCCGGTCAGTCAGTGTCCCTCCTCTTTCGCCCCACCCTCCAACATCAAAGCCCCCAGGTTTTTGAATAAGGTGTCCCCTCTTTACCCCTGCCAGAACGTGACGAAAGATGGGGTATCAGAGGTCATCGAAAACGCAGCAGAGGTTCCCGAAGCCAGCCGGAACAGGCCAGAGTGGGATCTCGAGACAGCCCGTGAGCAGTCCCTCATTGACCTCACCTCCACGGTGGCATCCTCCACCTCCTCTCCCTCTCCGGTCTCGGCCTCCTCCTGCGCCGGTGACGGATCGGCCCCGGACACACCGGTCACCCAGACCCAGGAGTCAGACTGCGCTCCACCGCTGAAGAACCCAGCGCAGGAGCCTCCTGAATTGAGTTCGGAGCCCCTGAACCTGTGCTTCGTCCCACAAGACGCCCCGAAGGACACCTCCGGGAGGATGAAGATCCAGATCCCGCTGGCACTGCTTCAGGACTGGTTCGCCGGTGAATCGGGCCCTCCGCACAAGTCCGAGTCCATGGTCCCGCTTTCCAACGGGCAGGGCAAGGCGACGGCAGCTGCCAGCGAGAAAGACAGGAGGTTCCCAAAGGAGAGCTCGGACACAGCCCCCACACCGACGGAGCCCACGGATCTGAGCTACCAGGGCCCAAGAAGAGACAAGAGCAGGTCGATGGAAGAGCGGCGCCACAGGAGCAGCTCTGTGGACGGGCAGCCACATCTGAACACCCCTGTCTTGGGTGGCCTACCCAGACACTCCCCCACTGAGGGCGTTCTCCCTGGGCATCCTGGCTACGCTTACCGGAATGGGCATCTGATTCCGCTGGGAGTCAAGGCCAGGGACTGGGGGAAGCCAACGGAGACCCACGGTGCCACGAAGCTGCCTCTAGCAGATGCCATGCCTCCAGGCAGCAGGCTTCCCTTGGGCAGGCTGTACTCTCCCTGGAAGGACTACGAGGTGCTGAAGCAGTACCCTTCGGGGGAACAGGCAGGAGTAACGTCGGACTCGAGAGCGGGGAGAGACAGCTCCCGGGCGCAGCCCGTCTCCATGAGCTACCACCCGGGCTCCCAGCCCCCTGACCACATGGGAAACACAGGGCTCCTGGCCTCTGCCTACAGCCCCAGTAGCCTCCACAAAAGCAGCTCCCCCTTCAGGTTGAGCCCCCAGCTGGCCCTCAAGCTGCCTGCGGCGGCTGTCCACGGGGCCGGGGCGGCCCAGCCTGCGCTGCTCATGGTGAACCCCACCTCCTCCTCCTCCTCCTCCTCCCTGCTTTCCCTGACCCCCCAGGAGTGCCTCAAACTGCGGAGGCTGATATCCAGCTCGCCCTGAGGGTGCACCCACCCATGGGACCTGCTGGTTGCTAGCAACCGCTGGCTGTCTGTTCCGCCCCCCCCCCATGGTTATCCGATGGGTCTCGGACCCTGGTTTTCCTCTGTTTCTGATCCATCAATCCTGAGCACTCCCGGTGTTGACTTTTGTCTGCCTGGACATTGGAAGGAACGTTGCCATCACCCGACCCACTGGCTCGGAAAGGAAAACCGAAAATAAGAATAGATGGAGCTTATTCAGCCACTGCGGCTGCTGTTACCAGTGGCCAAGTACTGGCGACCTGAAGAGCCGAGCACTCTGGGACAAGCTGGGACTGACTGCAAGCGCTTCGCTGCAGGAAGCAAGTTTCCTCCATTCGGACTGCCTTTCATTTCCCATGAGACGCCCATCTTATTCCCAGTTTTGTTTTGTGTTTCTTCTTTTCAGAAAAAGCATCAGATACCTGGTGAGATTTCAAATAGAAAAAGTTCAAATTCAGCACTAACAGCAGGACTGTTTAAGCCAAAGGTCTGTCAATAAGCAAAAAGAGTGCCAGCATTGTAATAAGTGTATATTTTATAAATGTGTGTATATAAAAGATTAGAAGTATGTTTTCTATCGTTTTCATGTAATTATGAAATATGATTTATTTTATATGATGTATTTTCTAAAATAATTGAAGTATGCGATGAAGAAAGTAAAGAATTAAGATTAAATTTATAAGTCTTTACCTGCCAGACATTGACCCAGGCATTGCTATAGGAAGTGGGGGGGGGGAGAGAGGTTTCTGAACAAGTGCGGGTGTCTGAGGTGAGCTCATTTAGATCAGGGGTGACCAATCCCAGGTCTGGGAATGCAGGATTTCAGTACAACTCAACTCTTACAGAGCGAAACCAGCTGGTTAGTGACCCTGCAGGACCAGGACTGGACAGCCATGTGGGCCTTCGTCACCCCGCGGTTTTGTACAGAGCTATCAAAAACGTCAGGTTTTGAAACGGCGATTACAGAATTGACCCAATTCATCGATGACTGTTGAAATAAACCTGCTAAAACTGTTCTGGTCCTTTTTTGAAGTGGGACTTTCTTTGTTATTTCTGTCTCGTAAAATGTTTTTTGAAGGACAATGTTGAACTTGAAATATGAAAAATGTAAATAAGTTATCTATGTAAATAACAGAGCAGTTTTGAAGACAGCCAAGACCATAAAACATCATACTACAGTTACCGTATGTCAATGTTACTCTTTGCGTCTGGACAGTACTGTTTTTTAAACAAATCGTTGAAGACATTAACAAAAACCATTAGCATTCACACACTCAAACAGTGAGATGGTTAGTACTGTTCTGTGGAGTTAAACAAATAGTCAAACATGATTCTGTTCCTTTTTCTGTTAAATTATTTTATCTGTAGTAGTCTGGTGTTTCTGCACTGTCCTTCAACAGTACATTTCCTGCTTTAGCACATAATAAACTCCTGGTTCAGGTTGTAACTGTACAGTTATATATTTTATTGTACAAACAGTAACAGCATTTCCTTTCACTGAGTCACACGTTTGAGCCTTGCCTGTTACACACAGTCTTCCGTCTGTGAAAAACACCCTCAATTTCTTTCCGTATGACTGGACCACCAGCCCTGGCTGCTGGATTGATTTAGCCACCTTGGTCCCTGTAGAGCTTCAGTGTCAATTATATCTGCCAATGCAGTTGCTTTGCGCGGTTGGCTCTGGAAAATAAAAATACTTTTTTTATACTTATATTGAATATATTGTATTACCGTAAGAGGTTGTATTGGGCTTTTGTAAGGGTTACAGGTCAAATTTAACTATATGCGAATTTAAGTCAACTGTACTGACAGAGCTTGCTCTAGCGCAGAGCACAGGTTTGACACTTTCTATTGTAAAAGACTGTGTAAAACATTCTTTTACCATGTTAGCTGCATCTTAAAGGTCTTCTTTTACCGATTTCCTTATCAAATTCACTCCTGTTTTTACAGTTCTAATAAGAGGCATGAGTTGTGATAATGATTGCTTATCACGATCACTCCTGATATAGCTGGTACAACTAGCATGAATACTTCCTACTAACAGATTCGTAATGCATTAGCAATGTTATTGCGTCTCACTCTCCACTTCCAGCATTGCATACATGTTCACACATCCTGCAGTGTAACAAAGCTTTCTGCATTCTCTGGAGACACTTCCTGGTACACCTGACACCAAGCAGGAGGCAAGCTGGGCTCCCAAGAATGGCTTGGCTAAGACTTTGAATCTGAGGTCACCCGAGTGCATTCCAATGATGGGACTTCCCATGATCTGAAACTCCTGGCAAAACCTGAAAAAACACCGGGACAACATGCAAACTCCACAGATAGGTGTCCAAAGCTGGAATTGAACTCAGGACCATCAAGCTGCAAACTACTGTCCCCCCCCCCAGCCTGCATTCAAAACTGAGCTGCCCTATCTGAGCCATCAGTCTTGGCTTGTCTCAGCCCAGCACATTACTGCAGAATGTGTTTGTTTTATACCTGTCAAAGTGCTCATATAGCACAATAACTTCTGACCCTCTTCATATCTTTTGATGTCGATGAACCGGCCAGGGGCTGGAAAAGAAGTGGCAGCAGGCAGTCTGAGACGTATGACAAGAGTGACAGAAGCTTCTGGCGTGTGTTGAACACCTGACAGATCAACCCACAGAAGCAGAAACCTCTTTTGTTGTTCATTCCTACCAAATCCACAAACTTTACATTCATAAAATGTCCCTTTTACACATTAACATTATCTAGTGACATATCAATAATCTAATAGATAAAACATCATCTTATCCTGTAAAGGATTATGGGAAGTCAGAGACTGTCCAAGACACACACAACACTAGGTAAGATTTATAGCACTTTCCTACTCTACCCCTGGACAGGACAACAGTTGTGCAGGAAAAACATGGGGATCACGCAAACGTCACACAGACAGGCAACAAAGACCAGAACTGTGAATCCAGAATTCTGGAGACAGGAGGGAGCAGACATACACGCCCCATCATTCTTTCAAACCAGCACTAGACACCTCTTCAACAAGTGGCAGGTTCATGACTGTAGTCCTGGGCATTGTATTCTCTATTCCCTTCTTGAATCCTGTATACTCTGCTCCAGACTGGAGCAATTTGGTTCTGATATGAGACAGCACCTCTTTCACATTCTGTTTCATACTACTCATCAATGAAGCTCAATGAAGCTCTTATAAAATCCTCCTTAAGCCTACAGAGAAGGAATCAGATAGGCCTGGAAAGGGATTAAAATGATCCCTTGATCTTGAACTTGATCCCTCATCCCTTTAGAACGAACTGTCATCCTGTTTCCCTTCTTAATCCTCTCTCTAAAATCCTCGAGTAAAATCCCCAGTGTTGAAGAAATTATTTTTATCAGCATTGTGAGTGCCATTTTTTCTCACTCACCAACACTCTCTCTCAATCACCCCTGACATTCGGAGGAACCACAGTAGCTCCGGCCAACACCACTGTCCAGGTTAGGTTAGTCCCATCTGTGAAAGAGAAACCCCTCACCATCTTTTCCCACTAGACATCAGTCACAGAGTTCCACAACACAAGCCCCATTGGCAGAGCACAATTAGCATAGTCTTACAATGACTATTAACAACAGATCAGTTTTAGCAGGAACGTAAATCAGAAAAAACAGATCATTAACAAATGTATGACTATGTATACAACAGCTATAGACTTCACAAGAAAATGCTATTTGCTAATGTAATAAAATGACTTTGTGGTGTGGCGAGTTGGCACACTGCCGTGAACAGTCTCCGGTGTTCTGATGTGATATATTATGGAACAATCATAATTTCATGGTGCTCTCAGCACAGTAGTTAGGAATAGTTCCAAATTGCAAAATAATTAAGAAGCTAATGTCCATGTTGAAGACCATGGCCTTCAAGGGGTATAAGGCTTCTTATGAAATACAAAAGATGTATATTTTACAGTATGAGGCTTAGGACAAAACTGCACACCTGACCTTTCTCCTTTTCATTCTAAATTGAGCAGTTATATGGTAATAATTCAATACCAGATTACTATTACATTTAATGATAGTGCTAATTTAAATATTGCAGTAAACGTCTTCACTATATAGGTCCATGTCCATGAAAGTTCTAAAGATTAAAACAGGCCCTTACAAAGTTCTTTTCTTTTCAGGGTAGTTTATGTGACAGGGTGTGCATGCATAATCAATGAGATTGTTAGAAGTTTGATCTCAGGTGGCACAGTGGGGCAGTGGTTAGCTCCTGGGTTCATTTCCAGGGAGGCTATATATGTTGAGATTGTACATACTCCCCCTGTTTGTGTGGGTTTCCCCCCACAGTCCAGAGACAGGCAGGTTAATTGGATTCTGGGCAAACTGGCCCTTGTGTGAGTGAGTGCCCTGCAATGGACTGGTATCCCATCCAGGGTGTATCCTGCCTTGTACCCATTGCTTGATGGGATAGGCTCCAGCTCAGCCTTGACTCTGTATTGAATTAAACGGTTAGAAAATGGGTGGATGTTCTGTCTCAGTTTAACAACAGCCATAGCAGAAGGGCACTGATTACTCTTCTCTCAACTGGTCTTCATAGGGATCTGTGCGCCAGATCATCGCCGCTGGATCGATAATTCAATCAGGGCCAGATTTTGGCGTCTGTAGGCCCTCGGCACTTTCACTCCGAAGTGTGCAAAAAGAGGGGTGAACACCAATTGAATGACATCGATTGACACGATGCACTTTAAACTCTTCTAACGCTAAACCACATGATTGACGGAGCGAGTCGAGCGACCATCACTTAGATACTTCTAGTGTCTAGAACAGCCGCTAGAGAGCGTAGGATTATTGATTAGGAGAACCTAGAGTCGATCGCAAGCATGTTGTTTCAGCTCGTTTTTTGCTAGTCACTAGTGATTCCCTCCCTCGTAGGCTCCAAAACGTGTTTTTTGTAAGCCCTAGGCAGTGTGCCTACAGTGCCTAAAGGGAAATCCGGCACTGGATTCAATATTACCTGAATGTAAACTGACTATCACCAGGACACAATATTGAATTCTAGTAACTAAAAAGTTACTTTCAAAATAAATACCAAAGTACAATCTTTGCGAAGGAAGCAGAAAGCTGAAGAAAAAGAATATTTATTTCTACATTATATTGGAGGTGCCACCTGGTATAACCTGTCCCCCAGCTTGTAGCTCTGATATTGCAAAGCAATGCCTTCGGGCTGTGTGCCTAGTGCACATTGACAGGAAGTGTTTGGATTAACCAGTCGTACAGGTTGGTAATACAATATTACAGGTATGCGTAGCTGTTCCACATGAATTACCAGCGCTGGCGCCTCGTCCACTGTCTGAGTTACTGTAATGATGCCGCAGGTCGTTTTCCAGAGGAGAATGTTTTGAGCTTCTTCAAAGCTACACATGCTGTTTTAACATTGTTTTTGAAAATCCAGAAACGGCCCTAATAATAATCTGGGAGGCGTACTGTATATTCCTTTCTCTTATCTGTGATCAGATGTGATTGAATCAGACCACACTGCCCAGATGAAGCTTGTTCACCAGGGACTCCCAGTTGGAATGTTAGTTTCATGCTGCCACTCTTGTGGCGTGTTTGAAACTGCTTATCAAATCATGCTCGGGAGAAAAAAACAAACAAAGACTGGCCGGCCAGCACAGCGAAGTTCATGTGCTCACTCTCAAGCCTGGGAAACGTGCTCTCTTCCCTCCTGTGACACTGCCGTATCGTCTTCCTTGCTGGCGGCGTTTGTCCGGGTTGGTCGCATTGTTGCTGCAAAACCAATTTGTCCCAGAGGACAGTAGAGCTTGAATCGGACTCGGGACTGCCCCTCTGCGACCCTGCCTGGTGCCTCTTGCTTGTCGGGATGGGCTCCGGTGCCCCTGCGGCCCTGTATTGGATAAAGAAGTTGGAAAACCGATGGATGGGTCGTGGTCGCCTGGCCTGCTCTGCCTTATTTACCGGAGCTGATTCCATGGGATCCTGTTCGTCGGTCGTCGGCGGGAAACCAAATGAGCAGGACGCGCCTAAGGTTATGCTCTCCTGTCTATGATATTGCTAGTTTATTTCCACTAAGGACCTAAAACTACGCTTTTCCTAACAGGAATTGTATATGCTGCACTGGCAAAGGTAATTTCTATAAACAAGCATACCATACTGTCCAGTTGTGGTTGAGCACAATTTGGACAGTAACAGCTCCAGCGGTGGGCATGAACAGTGCTGGGGGCCAATGCTGTTTTGCGGACAGTGCCCATAGGAAGGTTCTCCCCAGAGTCTCCATTATGGGGCGGTTCATGTCCACATTCAAGCCACAGAACCTCATTGGACCAGAGTGTATCCTGTCTAATACAGCCTTTGAAGATAAGATAAGATCACTTTATTTGCCATATGCAATTTCTTGCATTAGGAATTTGTCTTTTCGCATACCCCAGCTTGCTCTCCATGAGACACAGACACACAGATGGGGAGAGAGAAGCTTGGGGTCAGAGCGCAGGGTCAGCCATTTATACAGCGCCCCCGGAGCAGCTGGGGTGAAGGGCCTTGCTCAGGGGCCCAACGGAGTAGGATTCCTCTGCCGGCCGCGGGATTTGAACCGGCATCCTTCCAGCCACCCTTTTTTTTTTAAGATAAGATCACTTTATTAGCCATAGACAATTTCTTGCATTAGGAAGAAGTAAAGAACTGGAGAAAAGTTATGTGCTTTCCTGTGTCCCACCCTGGGCTAGCACATCTGCCACATCTGGCCTCTCTAACTGGACATATGAATCCCTCCCTTACTCCCATTGCCTGGACTGGTGCTGCAGAATGACTGCAGTGTTTATTATTATTATTATTGTGATTATTATTATTGTGATTGTTTTTATTGTTATTGCTGTGATTGAAATATTCCAAACTTACAGACACTTTAGAAACATTCTAAAGTTTCTGCACATACAACAGAGACTGAGGATTTCAATCCATCAAGGTGTTGTGTCTCACAAGAAGCAACAGGGTGGGACGGAATGCCAAGAAGATTCTGCTCATTCCCAAACTGAAACAATTCTAATTAAGCAACAGCAATTCGGTCGTGTTCTCAGCTGATTTGATTTCAGGTGTGGTGAATTTGAGACGACCGTCCCGCAGAGCGAAGCTGCATTTTTTGCCGCTGATTGTGAACCACGAGACTGGTGTGCTGCTCTTGAGCAAGGATTTCTCCAGTGCCCACACCCTCCACCCACCCCTCCCCCTCATTCGACAATGTCAGCGATCCAAACAACGAGGAACCGAAAAGCGAATGTACTGCAAGATACCATCTTATGCCTTTTGCTTCGGTTTCAATCTACATGTAGGTGTTAATTTAGCAACTGTCACTGTGGATGGAATGTGTGTCTTCTGACAATTCCGTTTTACATGATTTATTTATATATATTATATACATTTGACTGTCAATTTCAACCACAGAGACATGCTGTTTTATACAGCTGGGTATTTTACTGAAGGAATCAGAGTACAGTCTCTTTCACTAGGCATGACCTCACCTGGGATTTTAAGTCACACATTTCCAGGTAGAGGAGGGAGCCCTCAACACTGTTTCTTAATAATAATAATAATAATAATAATAATAATAATAATAATAATAATAATAATAATAATAATAAAGGGCACAAATAAATCAAAAGGTTAAATGAATGATAATGAGCCTTCCCTTGAAAGGATTTGGCCAAGACTATACCCACGTGGTTGGTATAGATAGATGCACATAAGTTCCTTGTTCTCTAGCACATCTTTGATGAACACAGCATAATTCAGAGGAAATTGGTTAAACAAATATTTACCAACAGGCAATAATACTCTACACACAATATAAACATAAAACACACATAGTACAGGAGATGTTTACAGACAAGGCGTCCAAGAGGCCTAATGTCATATCCACCCAGGACAGTCCCAGACTCAAACCAAACATTCAACTCTTAATGCCTGCAAAGGCCAGAATAAGAGATAAGCTGCCTTCTAAACTAAACAGAATGCAACCTACAGTTAAATCTCTCTTTCTCTGCAAACCTGGATGCCACACATTAAATAACCGTATTCTAAAAAGCAGTGATTAAGCAGAAGAGGCTGTTTTTAACTGAGGGATTCTTTGCTTAGGAAATTAAAGCTTCCTAAAATCTGTAGTGTAAAGAATGTTTGTTGTTTTAACCGGATTTATTAGCAATGAAATTATGGAGACCGGCCTGACAAGGTGTAGCAGAGAACAGCCTGTGTTATACACCCCCAGATTCCATTCCGTTCCCGAGTCACTGAAGTTGAAATCAGTCAATACAGCAGCGTGACTGGCTCCCAGCAAGAATCCCTTACAAGGCAGCTCTTAATCAGACACAATATGCTGTATGCAAAACTAACTGCTAACAATCGGCACCATTTATCAGATCAACAGTGTGTAATCCAAACATGTCACTGTCATGTTAAGACTTCTTAAGTTATACCATTGTGTTTGTCCAGGGCAGTTCTCTGCCGAACCGCAGCTGAGCAAATGAAAGAGGGGAAGGGATGCTTGGTAGACTCAATTGTGAGGGTTTGCCCTCAACTGTCTGTGTTAAAGGCAGGAGCGGAAAATGAATGTGGTCCATTAGATCTCAAGTCAGAAGAGCTAAAACAGACTCAGTGAAAGGAAAGGCAGGCAAAGACAAAGATGAGAAATGCAACTGCCCCAGTACAGGGGAACTGATCAGTTTTCCACAGGAATGCAGCACCTTGTATTCCTTGTATGATCAGTATTGTGCAAGAGCATACGCATCAGACTGCACATGGTGTCTCCCAGGCTACTAGATATTGATGTGTTTCCATTATAGGCATGGTCTGGTATCATGTACATTAGGGCCACTTCAAATAAGCAGAGTGCTAAGGCACTCTGAGGCACGAGTCCTGTTGCACAGAACGTGAGCTGGAAGCCATGTTCCATCAGCAAAACACTCTGAGGAGGAGTTGTGCTTGGTGTGTCTGAGAAAGAAGGGAGCCAATAGGTCTGCTATGCTGGCCTCTGTGTTTAAAAAAAAAGTTCATACACTGTGCTTAAGTGTTGGTTTAAAATACTTTGCTGCATGTGAGGATTAGACATGAAAATATACTCAGCTGCTAATGTCATGAGTCACCTCGCCTTCTCTGCTATTTTGTTCATCACAGCTTACCAGTATCGTGTCCAATACCTACTCAATAGCAGCTCACATACTCCTATCTCCACAGCAGACAATGGTGATACGAGCGTTTTTAATTTACTGGAACAATTCTAAAAAAACAATCTGTAGTTTACTGATACAACATGAAACATGCATAAAAAAACAACAAAAGTCACAACATATTTGTGAATCTATCTGCTGTGATAAGAATGGTTGATTGTTCACTCAGGATTACAAACATAAGATTTAACGTCACAAATTAAAATCAATCAACAATGTGTGTCCTATCTACCTTATTACCTGTCATAGGCAAATCTCATATAGTCACATTTAGATTCTCGAAGATAAGTAAATATACATTAACTGCTTTATTAAACTCATTTGGAATAATTCTTGAGAATTATAATATGAAGAAGGAAATGTTATACTCACATGATGTGATGGACAAATGTAACTTGATGAGTTGGACCCTCCTGGTTAGATTGATATTAAGCTGCGTCGGGTTGTCTGTCAACCAGTTTCTTCAGCTGCTCGCTCTGTGCTGGGAATGTCCTGATGTGGAGAGGAGATAGATAGAGAGAGGAGACGTTTCCTAAGCATTGCTGAGAACAGCTATGCGAGAAAGTTATTTTCCTGCTGGACTTCAATCTATCAGTCTTGGACTTCGATTGAAACTATGGAGTATTCAACTGATTCTCAACTTTCACTAGTCGATATTCACTTTAACATAACCAAGCACTTAAGTTGTCACCACAATTTAATCCATAACACCCAGGTCTCCATCTCTTTACTTTACAGCCATCCCTAGACCTCAGCAATATATCACCAGGCCGATCTTGTGTGCTCGGGGATGCATTGCCATTTGTGTCCCTGATGTAGTAGCAGCCAGGTTTGCTGTTTCCTTACTCTGTCTCACTCTGAGAAACTGCATGTCTGTCTGCTGATGTTTTGGCACAGGGGAAACCTGTGACTCGACCTGTGCCATGGGGTTGAATACTCAAGAGCCTGGTGATTAATGTAGACAGAAAGTAAAGAGTGTGTGATATACAGTACATGGGTATTTGAGAAAAGTCCAGTTAAGACTAACTGGAGAAGAAAGATCATGCAGTCTTCTTAAAGAGGGACTTACAAATAAGAACTAAGATCCTGGAAAGGGTCTGCAACAGCAGAGCAGAAAAATTAACATTCAGAAAACCAAGATGGGAATGCTGGGATTAAGGTGGTGGGTGTGTCAGTGTTTGACATTTATGCAACGTGGTATTTTAGCCACGGTGGCCCAGAACATTACCCACAGTATCTCACTGCTCTAGGCTGTAACTCACGTTACTTAAAAACACTAAGAATCGAAAGAGGATTTCAAAGGAGCATGCATGTTTTGCAAGCAAGATGCTGATGAATTCCCTCAAATGTCATTTCACACTTGGGATTACTGGCCACCTCCTTCCATCTCCCGGCTCGCACCTCAGGAACATCAGGCAGCAACACAAGGGCCACTCAAAACCACTGCATGGCAGTTATTAACTGAAGTTCGGGAGGGGGCTTACAACGGCAAGCCAATCACACACAGCCGTGCCTAGTCACTATCATTGCGAGACTAGCTACATGAACTGGACTCACGCCTCCCCTCACATTCGTCTCCAGGAACCCCCCTCCTCCACCACCCCCACCTTGCAACTGCCCCACGGTCCACTCGGTCTGAAAGGGTTCGAGCCTCCTCGTCCTGTGGCCAGGAGGCTACCTCTTCACCAAGCTGGTTAAGCCAAACGTTTCTCAACACGTATTCCAAAGCACTGTACTCTTGGAAGCTGGGAAGTCGTTGTTCCTAGAAAGCTTTCGTTAAGCGGCACAAATCGTGCTACCTTTTCCAAATGCCTTTGTGGAATTATTTTAACAATGTGTTTTGGAATATGTACAGGACCTATAATTCTGTAACTTAAATGGAGTAAATGGAGTTACTTGACAGCAAGCACAAAAACAACTACACAGGCTGCGTGTGACAAAGCAGAGACAGTGTAGCTAATTTAATAATGGGTTAGAAAAATGTTCCAAACACCCAACACTGCCACTCTGCTGAGATGAAAACAGTCACTGTGAAGTCATTTATATTTAATTTACAAGAACTCAGCTCCGATATAAAACAAAAGTATGTGAATATGTACCATTTTTCTTCCACCCGGTTTTCAGGAAACAACTGCTGGGGCCCATACTGTAGACATAAAAAGAACTGATCTATGATGACCTTCAGTGCTGTGGTTATCACACACCTGCTGGTTTGCATTCCAGCTCAGCCCTCATTTATACAATTGGACACAATCCAACTCCTGATTGATCTAATCGTAGGACTAATTCAAACTTTTTCGGCTCTTAAATGTGTCAGATGAAACCATGATAAACTGGTTGCCACTATCGTGTTTGAAAAAGTAACTAGGGCTCCGGGCCTTTGAGAAGACAAGGGTTCCAATGTACAGTACCAGCTTGTTGATTTCTGCGCCCGAGAGAAGGGCAAAAGCCCAGAACACTACCATGTCAAAATGATATATCCCACAGACCAGTAGAGTTGTCCTGTTCTAGAACATAGCAAACACTGGATAAAAAGTACATCAGGACACTTTTTATACCCTCAGCCTGGAACCAGTTTCTTGTTGAAATTACACAGATTTAAAGACTTGTGTGCACATCTGCAAACGTTAATGTTAGAGACCTACTGTACATATAAGCTAAGCTGGTTAAAAAAAATCTCAAAAGGATACTAACATTTTAACAAGTGTAAAAAGAAATACATGATCTCTACCAAGGTATTCTGTGTTGCGATTTGTGCAGCAGTCTCTACGCGCTATCAATAACATCACCTTTAGCAGCTCAGAGATGCCAAAAATGTCCTTTAACCAGATTTTTATTCTAAAAACTCTAAACAAACTTGTTTTGGAAAATCAAGTTTGGAAACAGTAACAGGAAGAAATAAAAAAACAGCTCAATCATAATTCATAAAGTATTTTTAATTTATTATTGTACACTTCGAGTTAAATATCTGTTATGACACATTTCTATTCTTCCTGATGTTTTTTCAGCATGCAGGTTACAGTGAGCTTTGATCAGAAACTTCTTCAAACTGTCAGGGGTTCCCATCTGGGCTGAAATAGATTTGTTCTCTTCTGTTAAAATAATATATCCATATAGTTGTATGTATAACAAAATCAATGATGCAAAATACTTTTTAACAATCTCAAAAAGAAGAAAAAGTTAAATTACAAAACTTTACAGTAACAAATGCTGCATTACATATTTACTATTTAGTGAAAGTAGCACAGCTCATTAAATTCTCAGAAACACAAGAGGCATAGTTTATAGTCATTATTAAATAAAGAAATAGGAAGCTAGAGTTACCATGGAGCAGCTTGCACCATGTTGTCTGAATACAACACGGACTGCTTTATGTTATTCATCAAGACAAAAGCCTGCTGGGTTTTTCAATACGCTTATCCTCCTCCACAGAACCACCTGAAGTTACACTTTAAAACTATGGTCCCAGCCAGTTTGTGCAACACATACCCCAGCTGAGACTATAGTTATAGTGCTGTATAGTCTCCATTATATCATACAACATCTGGACCACAGGAAAATATCTGATTTATACAAGACAACTACATTTTGGGGGGCGGGAGCAGTATTTCATGGGACAAATTTAAGTGGGATAAGATCAGGTTGGCCAGCTTTTACTAAGCTGTAGGGAATCTGACGAGGAATTCTGAAATGATCACACCCATTGTTTCAGAACAGCACTTCCAATCTACATCCACAGTAAGAAGAAAACGACCTGAGGCCTACTCTTTAAGTCTTCAAGGAAAAACAAAAACTATCACTCAGTGTTTTTAAAGTTGGTTTTGAGAAGCTTTCTTAAAATGTGGGACCATTTCAGCACCAGTATCAAACTACTGTTATTCCCTGTCAGTACATCCGCTGATCTGCTCATTCATGGGTAGACCTGTAGTAAACCAAATACAAAATGCACTAAAAAGAGAAGCTTGGAGAGCTCCGAGCAGCTCTCTCAACAGTCAGGGGCAGGTTTCCCCTTGAGGTATTTGCAAAACATTTTCCCACTCACACCAATCCCCTCCACTGTCAAAGAAGAGTGCCTTAGTGACGCTTACAGAGTCAAATCCATGGTCTGCATCACCTGCATGCAAAGCCTGCAGTGCAGCACTCTGTAGCACATGCACCAGTCCGTTCATGCAGAATCTGCAGAGATGCAGAGGCCATGCTGTACTGTTGTAATGAATCCAGACCGAGTCCAGGACTGTAAATGCATCTGCTTGGGAGTACAGGCTGGATGAGCATTACTGAAGCTACAGTATACAGGAGCAGTGCAGCCTGGTCTCAGGCCGGAACGGGATTTCCTGAGCTTTGGCTAAAGACGCTGCACTAAGGAAAGGAAATGGAACAGAGATGCATGTCGGACATGCAGTACATCAGTAACTTCTTAATACTGTTGATGCAAAATTTACACAGCAGTGGGGTATTCAGAGGTGGAGGCCAGACCGAGGACAACTAGCCCACACTGTCACACTCCACTCCCACTTCGCCCTCATGATTTCACTCCCCTCCATGGTCCTGTACTCTCCCTCTGCGCTTTGGTTACTTAAAAACACTGGTAAGTGCATTCTGAGCTACGATTTCCACATTTACATGTCTAAACCGAATGCAATATGCATAATGTTTTTAATATCTGTAATTAAGTTGTACTAAATTTTACTGCATTGTTGTATTCAAATAAAGTACACAGCAAAAGCCAAAATGCCTCTTATTTTATTTTCAATTATCTCATATAATTGGCTTTCATATCTTTACTCTTTACTTGTCACCAAGCCATTTAGGATATTGTAAAGAGTTGGGTTTTTTTCATCAGAGGTTTCATGTTAAAAATTAAAAAGATCTACTATAATATCTAAACTGCTTTTTAAGATACTGCATATTTACATGATATTAATATCTGTATAACAGATAAAGTTGAATGTATATAGATGATAAGTCTTGCTATTATTCGTTATCTAATCTGTATTCAATTCCAGTTTATCCATCAATGCTGGTACAATTCTTCATGTATGAGTAATACACAGCACCTTCCATTTGGGACTAGATAAAACTTCAGGCATTGCTGCTTCTATAAATAAACCAATATCTGCCAACCGTACTCAAAAGTCACTTACCAAGTTTTTAAACCAGCTGTATTTATCTGTCAAAGACGTGGGATAACCTTGCAGTCACAGATTACACACTGATGAACGTATTCTTTGGGAATCCGGCTGCAGTGTATGATAACCCTGTTTCGGTGGCCAGCGAAGGGAGGGATATTCAAGCCCCTGGAGGATACAGACTCTCCAGAACCTAGAATGGTGGTGAACACGTTTTTCTATATGTTCCCCTAAATAGTGAACTTGGCAGAAGTGAAGCAGGGAGACCCCTTTTTTTTAAACAACCCCCCGACACTCATGGTCACCCTTTTGGGCAGCGTTTGCCCCTGCTGAGCTGGGGAGCAGAGAGAGCGAACAGGCAGGCTTCTGTCCTTTCACATTCCCCGGAGTGCCCCCAGTGTGGTCAACACCACTGCCGTGCGCTCCAGGGGACACGGGCACGATCAGTCCGCTGGACACCCTGGCCAAGGACGCAGCTCTCCGAAGGCGTGTGAAACCAGCCGGAGCTGTGGCCGCCTGCGAAACGTTTGATTTTTAAAAAAAAAAAGTCTCGGGATGAATTGCATCAGAAATATAAGGAGACAGTACAAGGACTGTTTTAAGTTCAAAACAGTAGAGCTCAAATTTCAACTGGTAATTTCAGAGTCTGTGCTTATCTCTCACGTACGCAAGAGGGTGTTAATCAGGGAAATGGCATGACTCCAACTTTGATCCTTGTAGAAAGGGAGGAAATATAAATCCTTCCAGGGGGAACCTCTTTGTTTTTCACCTAGAAATGCTGCCGGGAGAATCCATCGCGATCCAGTGCCTCCTTGCCCAGAGGGATTGTGGGCCTTGTGTTTGAGGAGGAGGGTATGAGCCGGACTGTGGGGGGCTCTTCTTTCACCCTCCCGACACCGGC